TCATCCAGTAGTGGGATTAATACTTGTGTGGTATATGCAATATCTAGAGTGGTTTGACAATTGGAAGTGGAATGATTAAAAGGATGGCTAGATAATGTATAGTGTAACTTTGGAAACCACAATTAGTAAAGTTGTGATAACATGGGTTTCTTAGCAAATAATGAAAAATGATGTTGCGTTAGTTGAGGTCAGAACCTCTACTATGACTTCATATATTGAGTGTTTATCAAAGAGGGTCGTGATACGACTAGTATAATGGTATCAATCTTTACTTGGTAAGAGTTATGGAGTGAGTTACTCCTACTATTGACCCAATCTGCGAATGAATCACTTTGGATGAGGGACCGAATGAATTTAGTAGTGTATTGTAGTAACTTTATGGTTAGAAATGTGTGGGGTATTTGAGTATAATCTTCTTGAGGTGTATGATGTATTCTAGTGGTGGATTTAACTGACTTTCACGATGTGGTACTAGTGGTATCTGAAGTCGGTTATGTTGATTGTTAAGCGTGAATACCAACTAATTAAAAAGTTATAAATTCTATCAAATGTCCATATAATGAGATTCAATGTTGCCTTCACATTTGACAAACCAACTAGGTTGTTACTGCAGATGTTTGAGGTTAAAGAATATGTATAAGGAAGATTTTAGTGGTGGATCATTGATACATTATTAATGCGTTAAGTTGAGAAGTGTATCCCGAGGGTTCTAAATGAGGACCTGTGATTTCATCTTAAGGTCCAAGGGAATGGATAAATACCAGAATGACAAACTTATGGGTAAATGAAATCCCAAATAGTATACTTGTGTGAAGGTAAATGAAGATTTTAGTAATAAAGTGTGTATAAAATTAAGTAGTCCCTTGAATTTGATTTGTATAGGTGGTTCAAGATATCATGTCAATGACAAGGTTGACTTTGTGGTGATGGCAAGGGCTAACTAAGCATAGTGGTAATAAGAGTTCGTGATGGATTGTGATTAGGATGCAACTATATAATAAAGATTGTCGGTTAAATAGATTTTGTATGGTGATGACGACTTGCGAGTATCTAATGTGATGGCTTGATACTATTTGATGACTAGCGTGGGATCGTGGAAAGTTATAGGAGGTGCTAAGACACCACTCGAATAGAATTGGAATGAACTAGAGTCACAAATTAAAAGAATTAGTGGGATGTATTTTAGTCATTGGAAAGAGGTAAACAAGAACAAAGATATTTACTCTAATTGCAAAGAACAAAGATATATCTTTAGAGAGCTGAGAATCAAGTTCAAAGATGCGTGGTTCTATATATTTTTCTCTTGTTATGGTAATATTGTTACATGTTCATCAGATTGGATAAAACTAATTTGGTAAGATTTGAGAAAGAAGTCTACACATGATTGACTCGACTATGGTGATAAGTTCTTTTACGGTTTTGAGTTTGGTAACTGGTACAGTTGAATTTTAACAAAAGATATGATAAGCTCAATGGAGAGGCGGTCAGTGATAACCTAAGATACGTGAATTCATAAAAATCTTCAAGGTATAACCTAATGTTGATAGATAAAGGAATTGGGTTACACAGTTGAATTAAACATTCAAGTTTTTCATTGTGAGTTTAGGTTTGTGGTAGTGTGTTTTGTCAAGGTATGGATTGGTAAGGTAAGAAATGATCGATCACATTGAGTATGAGCATTTGGAAGGACTTGTATATGTTTTGAGTCATAAAGTGTGTTATTTTAATTTTCAAAGAACCTAAGGAAGGGTTTTATCTAATATTTTTATTTTGAGGATAAGGAAAAAAAATGCCAGGCATTGTTGGCCAAAGAATAAGATTAGTGGGCGAGTCAATAAAGGGAACAAGAGTCTGGTGTATTGAAGGGTTCAAGATATTTAGAATTTTGTGTCATGAGAAGAATTTAAGAAAAGTGAAGGAATAAGACCTCTTGTATAAACCCTTGGTTTGTAGTTGAAAGATTTAGTGATTTTGCCTATGAGTTTAGATATGACTGTGAGATGTGAACTAGCTCGATACAGACTTACTAGAAAGTTATCATCGACTTTTCTAAAGATTGAGTTTTGTTTGGGTGACAAGCAACTATGCGTGGAAGATTCTATGTGGTTATGTCGAGATAGATTGTTCAAATTATGATAGGTAACTTATTGATGTTCAATGGTACACCTACAATTTTACATGATTAATGAGGATTCGAGGGTGTAACATCCGACAATTTGAAGTGGCTTAGAAGGAGTTTGAAATTTGGAAATTTGTTTAAGTGTGGAAATCAATGAGTTTTTGGCCAACTTTGAGTAGTCGTAACTCCTAGCTCAGGATGAGTTAGGAGTAGTTCCAGTTATGGTTGCGAAGCCCTTGGAACAATCGTTCCAACGCCACTGAGTTTTCTCAATTCCGAGTTCGTATGAGGGAGTTATGCCCTGTAGAAGCTGGGCAGTTGGAAGGGAAATCCATCCGGAAATTTAAGGGCATTTTGGTCCTTTCACAAATTATTTATTTTGAGCTCATATTGTTGTATTAGAATGATCTTTGGATCATTTTTGTCCCTTTTTGAAATAGAAAGAGTTAGGGCTTTTGAGAGTGAAGAAGAGGAGAAGGAGAAGAAGAAGAAAAGAAGAAAGAGGAGCTTAGTCAAGATCGTGTGGACTTTCGTCGGGGGTGATCCCTATCTAACGTATGTGAGTTTTTCGTGTGGGTTGATCCTTTCCCCCACACACACCTAGTTTATTATATGATTGAGAAAAGATTGGAATAGTTGTTGAAGTTGTTAAAGTTGTTGAAGTTGTTAAAGTTGGTGAAGTTGGTGAAGTTGTTAGTTGTTGTTGATGTTGTGGATTGTGTAGTTGAAACCTATTGTATGTTGAGGGAATTATGATTCTAAGAGTTATGACCATTGGAGGTTGATTCACATCTTTTCGCAGCAAATATCTGGGCTGTCGATCCCCATCTACGGGCGTGACCTACGGACCGTAGATCAATCGACGGTCCGTACTGGTCAACCGTCGATCAAGACAGAAGTTGGTTTTTGGGGCGTCGATCTACGGGTCCGACCTACGGTCCGTAGCTCGATCCACGGACCGTAAGTCAGAACCGTAGGTCAACACTTAGTCTTTTTCTTAAATAAATTCTGGGGAAAAATCTCTGACGCGATCTACGGACCTACAGTACGGACCGTAGGTTCATCTACGGTCCGTCGATGGATTCCGTAGATGCCGCCTGTGTCACCAGAAATCTAAAGTCTCAGCCAAGTTCCCCATTCCTTTTCTCACTTTCTCAAGCAAGTTCCAAAGTATTATTACCTATGTTTTATGGTTGTTTCCGACACTCCATAGTGCGTCTAAGAGTTCAAGAATCCCTCCATAACATGTGATCGAACGCCTTGAATTCATAATTCCGATTCAAGGAAAGATGGTTCCAAGTCAAGTGAAGTTAGCAGTCAAGTTAAGTCAAGAGTTTAAAGTTGAGTTCAGTCTCAAAGTTATTAGGGAACTATGTATTCCCAAAGAAGTTTTAAAGAAATGTTTTTACAATTGAACAAGGTTGGAAACTGAGATTTCGAAAGGGGCCTTCGAGCTAGTTTTTGAGTAATTATCTCATATCAGCAGGAATAAATATGTTTTAAAAACATAAGAGCCAGTACATTTTTGGGAGTAGTATCGAGCACCGAATTGGGGGAGCGTTCCAAAGAACCCACAGCCCCCATAGAACCATGTTAGCCACCATGGGTAGAAAAGGATCATGCTTTCTAGATGAATCCTTTTCAGATTAGACTAGTGGATCCATTAGGCAATTCAGGTCTTATACCTTTGGCCGGGTATATGATGCTCTGGCAGCGTGAGGTCGATCGCTGTATCATCACTACAGCTCTTATGTGATGGTTGTCGGTTAGAGAAACTCCCACAGCAGTTATTGTATTTTCATACTTAGAGATTATTGTATTTTTATATACATCAGATTATTGTATTTCTATATACATTTCAGGCTTATTGTATCTTTGTATACACACAGAGTTTATAGTATGTTTTAAACAATCTTTCTTTATATCGCACTTGTCCTAAATTGTCTTATATTGAAAGAAGTCAGTCAGGTTGAGTTGAGTTGAGACAGGTAAGCTATTCAGTTTCTTCCAGATTTCTTCTTCTAGCCGTTGTTGCTTAGTTCCCAGCTTGCATACTCGTACATTCCATGTACTGATGCCAGTTGGCCTGCATCGTTTCATGATGCAGATTCAGGTATCCCAGATCAGCAGCCTGCACGTCGTTGATCCAGCTGAGCACTCCAGAGTCAGTGGTGAGCCTCCTTGCATTCCGGAGGGCTCAATTATTGAGTGTTCTTAGTTTTGATTTTATTAGGATGTTGCGGGGTCTGTCCCAACATCTATCTCAGTATTTTTTTGAGGCTTCATAGACAGACAGTCAGTCAGCTAGTTTTGAGTCTCTTAATTATGTATTTATGTAAATATCCTATTTTGAGATTTGGGTTGCCTTAGGGCCATATTTTATAAGTTAAGTTGTTTTGAAATATTGCATTGCTTTGAGTTATTCTGTTGAGTTAGGTTTCCGCTGAGTTAAGAAAGCCAGGCCAAGGGTTCGCTTGGGGCCAGCAATGGTTTCCGAGTGCCGGTCCCGCCCAGGGTGTAGGCTCGGGGCGTGACAAACTTGGCATCAGAGCAAAGAGTTCAAGAGTCCTAGGGAGTCTATGAAGCCGTGTCTGTAGAGTCCTAGTTATCGGTGTGAAGCACGCCACATCTATAATTGGGAGGCTGCAACATTTAGGAAGATTTCTCATTTCTTTCACACTTATTTCGTGCGTTAGAGTTGACCTCTAAAAAGTTTCTCTCTAATCCGTGCTTGCGCGTGTTTCAGATAGTCATGCCTCCACGAAGGGTTGGCAGAGGGCGTCTTCCCAGACGCTATGTTAATGAGCAAGAGCTACCGGATGCACCTAGAGTGCAAGATCATAGGGAAGTTTCTAATGCTGAGTTCAGAGAGGCAATTAGAATGTTGAGTCAAGCTGTAGCTAATCAGACTGGTCAGCAAAGGGGAGCTCGACAGGAGGGATCTAACACTTCTAGGATTCGTGAGTTCTTGGGAATGAATCCTTCGAGTTTCATGGGTTCGAGCACTACTGAGGATCCAGAAAACTTCATTGAAGAGTCGAAGAAGATTTTTGATGTGATGCATGTGGTAGATACTGAGCGGGTCGAACTAGCTGCTTATCAATTGAAGGATGTAGCTAGAACTTGGTTCGACCAGTGGAAAGGAGGCAGAGTTGAGAATGCACCACCTGCGAGTTGGGCCTGTTTTGAAGAAGCTTTCTTGGGGCATTTCGTTCCTCGAGAATTGAAAGAGGCTAAGGTAAGTGAGTTCCTCACACTTAAGCAGGAGTCCTTGAGTGTTCATGAGTACAGTCTGAAGTTCACACAACTATCCCGCTATGCTCCGGAGATGGTTGCGGACATGAGAAATAGAAAGAGTTTGTTTGTTGCTGGGCTGTCTCGATTGTCGAGCAAGGAAGGTAGGGCAGCAATGCTTATCGGGGACATGGATATATCAAGGTTGATGGTTTATGTGCAGCAGGTTGAGGAAGAGAAGCTGAGGGACAGAGAAGAGTTCAGAAATAAGAGAGCTAAGATCGGGAACGAGTCTGGGCAGCAGAAAGGTGTTTCAAACCGTTCCTCCCTTCAGCAAAGGCAACAGGGACCTGCTCCATCAATTGCTAGAGCACCTGCACCCAGATACAGAGGTGAATTTAATGTTCAGAATTCGAAGGACTTCAGGGCTAGACCAGCACAATCTTCGGGTAGTGTGGCGCAAAGGAGTAGTAAGCCTCCGGTTTGCGCCAAATGTGGTAGGAACCACTCAGGTATTTGTCGAGAAGGCTCCCTTGGTTGTTTCAAGTGTGGTCAGAATGGGCATTTCATGCGAGAGTGTCCAAAGAATAGGCAGGGTAATGGAGGCAATAAAGCACAGTCTTCTTCAGTTGTTCCTCCAGACAGGACGGCACTTAGAGGAGCTACTTCTAGTGTAGGTGGAGGAGCGAACCGCCTTTATGCTATCACCAGTCGCCATGAGCAAGAGATTTCTCCGAATGTTGTCACTGGTATGATCAAAGTCTTTGCTTTTAATGTGTATGCTTTGCTAGACCCAAGAGCAAGTTTATCGTTTGTAACTCCTTATGTTGCAAACCAGTTTGAGGTTCTTCCTGAAAGACTTTGTGAACCCTTTTGTGTTTCTACACCTGTTGGGGAGTCTATTCTAGCGGAAAGAGTCTATCGTGATTGTCCTGTTTCCATCAGTCACAAGAACACCAAGGCTGATTTGGTTGAGTTAGACATGGTAGATTTTGATGTCATTCTAGGTATGGATTGGCTTCATGCCTGTTATGCATCATTAGACTATAGAACTCGAACCGTCAAGTTTCAGTTTCCGAATGAGCCAGTCATAGAGTGGAGTAGCAGTTCAGCAGTGCCTAAGGGTCGTTTTATTTCGTACCTTAAGGCAAGAAAGTTAGTTTCGAAGGGTTGTATCTATCACTTAGTCCGAGTTCATGACTCTAGTGTTGAGATACCTCATTTCCAGTCAGTTCCTATAGTAAGAGAGTTTCCAGAAGTTTTTCCTGATGATCTACCCGAAATTCCTCCTGAGAGAGAAATAGATTTCGGCATAGATCTCATTCCAGATACTCGTCCTATCTCTATTCCGCCATATAGAATGGCACCAGCAGAGTTGAAAAGAGTTGAAGGAACAGTTGAAAGATCTCCTAGAAAAGGGTTTCATTCGACCGAGTGTCTCACCTTGGGGTGCTCCGGTTTTGTTTGTGAGAAAGAAAGATGGTTCCCTTAGAATGTGTATAGACTACCGCCAGTTGAATAAGATTACCATCAAGAACAAGTACCCTCTTCCGAGGATTGATGATCTTCTTGATCAGCTTCAGGGTGCCACTTGTTTTTCAAAGATTGACCTCCGATCAGGCTATCATCAGTTAAGGGTAAGGGAATGTGATATCCCAAAGACAGCTTTCAGGACCAGGTATGGTCATTATGAGTTTTTGGTCATGTCCTTTGGTTTGACCAATGCACCGGCAGCTTTTATGGATTTGATGAATAGAGTCTTCAAACCTTATTTAGATATGTTTGTTATTGTCTTTATTGATGATATACTAATCTATTCAAGGAATGAAGAAGATCATGCTAGTCATATCAGGACAGTTCTTCAGACTTTGAAGGAGAAGGAGTTGCATGCCAAGTTCTCTAAATGTGAGTTTTGGCTCAAGTCTGTGGCGTTCCTAGGCCACATTGTGTCCGGTGATGGAATTAAAGTTGATACTCGAAAAATTGAGGCAGTGCAGAATTGGCCTAGACCCACATCTCCAACTGAAATTAGGAGTTTCTTGGGATTAGCTGGCTATTATAGAAGGTTTGTCGAGGGGTTCTCGAGTATTGCATCTCCTTTGACAAAGTTGACTCAGAAGACAGTGAAATTTCAATGGTCTGAAGCTTGTGAGAAAAGCTTTCAGGAATTGAAAAAGAGATTGATTACAGCTCCAGTTTTAACGCTACCAGAAGGTAATCAAGGTTTTGTGGTGTATTGTGATGCATCTAGAATTGGTTTGGGTTGTGTCTTAATGCAGAATGGCAAAGTTATAGCTTATGCCTCCAGACAGTTGAAGGTTCATGAGAGGAACTACCCAACCCATGACTTAGAGCTAGCTGCTGTAGTATTTGCTTTGAAGATATGGCGTCATTACTTGTATGGTGTGCATGTCGACATATTCACTGATCACAAGAGCCTTCAATATGTGCTTACTCAGAAAGAGCTTAATTTCAGACAGAGGAGGTGGTTAGAGTTACTCAAGGATTATGACCTTAGTATTCTTTACCACCCAGGTAAGGCTAACGTCGTTGTTGATTCTTTGAGCAGGTTGTCTATGGGTAGCACCGCCCATATTGAAAAAGGAAGGAGAGGGTTAGCAAAAGATGTGCACAGACTGTCATGCCTGGGAGTCAGCTTTACAGATTCCGCAGAAGGAGGAATAGTGGTGACGAGCAGGGCCGAGTCATCATTAATGTCAGAAGTGAAAAAGAAGCAAGATCAAGATCCCATTTTGCTTGAGTTGAAGGCAAATGTTCAGAAGCAAAAAGTATTAGCTTTTGAACAAGGGGGAGATGGTGTATTAAGATATCAAGGTAGAATATGTGTACCTATGATAGATGGACTCCAAGAAAAGATTATGGAGGAAGCTCATAGCTCCCGATATTCCGTTCATCCAGGTTCCACCAAGATGTATCGTGATTTGCGAGAAGTTTATTGGTGGAATGGCATGAAGAAGGGCATTGCTGAGTTTGTTGCTAAATGTCCAAATTGCCAACAAGTGAAAGTCGAACACCAAAGGCCTGGTGGTTTGGCTCACAGTATAGAGCTTCCAGAGTGGAAGTGGGAGATGATCAATATGGATTTCATCACAGGGTTGCCAAGGTCTCGTAGACAGCATGATTCCATTTGGGTAATTGTCGACCGAATGACAAAGTCAGCTCATTTTCTACCGGTAAAGACTACCAATACAGCAGAAGATTATGCCAAGTTGTATGTTCAAGAGATAGTGAGACTTCATGGAGTCCCAATCTCCATTATTTCAGATAGAGGTGCACAGTTTACTGCACAGTTCTGGAAATCTTTTCAGAAGGGCTTGGGTTCAAAGGTGAACTTAAGTACTGCCTTTCATCCTCAGACTGATGGGCAAGCAGAACGCACTATTCAGACCTTAGAGGATATGTTGAGGGCTTGTGTAATCGATTTCAAAGGTAGTTGGGATGATCACCTACCTCTAATTGAATTTGCCTACAACAACAGTTATCACTTTAGCATCCAGATGGCTCCGTATGAAGCTCTTTATGGGAGAAGATGTAGATCTCCTATCGGATGGTTTGAGGTGGGTAAAGCCCAGTTGATAGGACCAGATTTAGTTCATCAAGCTATGGAGAAAGTGAAAGTGATTCAAGAGAAGCTGAAAACGGCACAGAGTCGTCAGAAATCCTACACTGATGTTAGGAGAAAGGCATTAGAGTTTGAAGTAGACGATTGGGTATATTTGAAGGTTTCACCCATGAAAGGCGTTATGAGGTTCGGTAAGAAGGGGAAACTCAGTCCCCGGTATATTGGACCTTACCGCATAGCCAAGAGGATTGGCAATGTTGCTTATGAGTTGGAGTTATCACAAGAGCTAGCAGCGGTTCATCCGGTATTTCACATCTCTATGTTGAAAAAGTGCATAGGTGATCCTTCATTGATCCTACCGACTGAAAGTGTTAAGATCAAGGATAACTTATCTTATGAGGAAGTGCCGGTTCAGATTTTAGATCGCCAAGTTCGTAGGTTGAGAACGAAAGATGTAGTCTCAGTTAAGGTCCTTTGGAGGAACCAAATTGTTGAGGAAGCTACTTGGGAAGCCGAAGAAGACATGAAGAAGAGATATCCATATCTCTTTGAATCTGTAGATCAAGGTATTAATTCCCTTCTTAGTGCTCTTTAAATTATGATGAGCATGTCGTTGTTGTTGTTACGTTTGCATGGTTGTTTGTTGGGTGTTGAGTTGATGTTACACCCTTAGCCTTATAAGAGTAACCTCATTCGAGGATGAATGTTCCCAAGGGGGAGATATTGTAACATCCAACAATTTGAAGTGGCTTAGAAGGAGCTTGAAATTTGGAAATTTGGTTAAGTGTGGAAATCAATGAGTTTTTGGCCAACTTTGAGTAATCGTAACTCCTAGCTCAGGATGAGTTAGGAGTAGTTCCAGTTATGGTTGCGAAGCCCTTGGAACAATCTTTCCAACGCCACTGAGTTTTCTCAATTCCGAGTTCGTATGAGGGAGTTATGCCCTGTAGAAGCTGGGCAGTTGGAAGGGAAATCCATCCGGAAATTTAAGGGCATTTTGGTCCTTTCACAAATTATTTATTTTGAGCTCATATTGTTGTATTAGAATGATCTTTGGATCATTTTTGTCCCTTTTTGAAATAGAAAGAGTTAGGGCTTTTGAGAGTAAAGAAGAGGAGAAGGAGAAGAAGAAGAAAAGAAGAAAGAGGAGCTTAGTCAAGATCGTGTGGACTTTCGTCGGGGGTGATCCCTATCTAACGTATGTGAGTTTTTCGTGTGGGTTGATCCTTTCCCCCACACACACCTAGTTTATTATATGATTGAGAAAAGATTGGAATAGTTGTTGAAGTTGTTAAAGTTGTTGAAGTTGTTAAAGTTGGTGAAGTTGGTGAAGTTGTTAGTTGTTGTTGATGTTGTGGATTGTGTAGTTGAAACCTATTGTATGTTGAGGGAATTATGATTCTAAGAGTTATGACCATTGGAGGTTGATTCACATCTTTTCGCAGCAAATATCTGGGCTGTCGATCCCCATCTACGGGCGTGACCTACGGACCGTAGATCAATCGACGGTCCATACTGGTCAACCGTCGATCAAGACAGAAGTTGGTTTTTGGGGCGTCGATCTACGGGTCCGACCTACGGTCCGTAGCTCGATCCACGGACCGTAAGTCAGAACCGTAGGTCAACACTTAGTCTTTTTCTTAAATAAATTCTGGGGAAAAATCTCTGACGCGATCTATGGACCTACAGTACGGACCGTAGGTTCATCTACGGTCCGTCGATGGCTTCCGTAGATGCCACCTCTGTCACCAGAAATCTAAAGTCTCAGCCAAGTTCCCCATTCCTTTTCTCACTTTCTCAAGCAAGTTCCAAAGTATTATTACCTATGCTTTATGGTTGTTTCCGACACTCCATAGTGCGTCTAAGAGTTCAAGAATCCCTCCATAACATGTGATCGAACGCCTTGAATTCATAATTCCGATTCAAGGAAAGATGGTTCCAAGTCAAGTGAAGTTAGCAGTCAAGTTAAGTCAAGAGTTTAAAGTTGAGTTCAGTCTCAAAGTTATTAGGGAACTATGTATTCCCAAAGAAGTTTTAAAGAAATGTTTTTACAATTGAACAAGGTTGGAAACTGAGATTTCGAAAGGGGCCTTCGAGCTAGTTTTTGAGTAATTATCTCATATCAGCAGGAATAAATATGTTTTAAAAACATAAGAGCCAGTACATTTTTGGGAGTAGTATCGAGCACCGAATTGGGGGAGCGTTCCAAAGAACCCACAGCCCCCATAGAACCATGTTAGCCACCATGGGTAGAAAAGGATCATGCTTTCTAGATGAATCCTTTTCAGATTAGACTAGTGGATCCATTAGGCAATTCAGGTCTTATACCTTTGGCCGGGTATATGATGCTCTGGCAGCGTGAGGTCGATCGCTGTATCATCACTACAGCTCTTATGTGATGGTTGTCGGTTAGAGAAACTCCCACAGCAGTTATTGTATTTTCATACTCAGAGATTATTGTATTTTTATATACATCAGATTATTGTATTTCTATATACATTTCAGGCTTATTGTATCTTTGTATACACACAGAGTTTATAGTATGTTTTAAACAATCTTTCTTTATATCGCACTTGTCCTAAATTGTCTTATATTGAAAGAAGTCAGTCAGGTTGAGTTGAGTTGAGACAGGTAAGCTATTCAGTTTCTTCCAGATTTCTCCTTCTAGCCGTTGTTGCTTAGTTCCCAGCTTGCATACTCGTACATTTCATGTACTGATGCCAGTTGGCCTGCATCGTTTCATGATGCAGATTCAGGTATCCCAGATCAGCAGCCTGCACGTCGTTGATCCAGCTGAGCACTCCAGAGTCAGTGGTGAGCCTCCTTGCATTCCGGAGGGCTCAATTATTGAGTGTTCTTAGTTTTGATTTTATTAGGATGTTGCGGGGTCTGTCCCAACATCCATCTCAGTATTTTTTTGAGGCTTCATAGACAGACAGTCAGTCAGCTAGTTTTGAGTCTCTTAATTATGTATTTATGTAAATATCCTATTTTGAGATTTGGGTTGCCTTAGGGCCATATTTTATAAGTTAAGTTGTTTTGAAATATTGCATTGCTTTGAGTTATTCTGTTGAGTTACGTTTCCGCTGAGTTAAGAAAGCCAGGCCAAGGGTTCGCTTGGGGCCAGCAATGGTTTCCGAGTGCCGGTCCCGCCCAGGGTGTAGGCTCGGGGTGTGACAGAGGGGATTGAAAATACTTTGTAGATGGGACTATACAGACTGTTATGATGTGTTACATAGTCATTTGATGGTGAGTAGAGGTTATGAGCTTATAGTAAACAAAATTATTGGAGTGACCAAGAATTTCTTAAGTGTTGGTATGAGGCATATGATGGTATTGAATATTAGTTGAAATTTTGTATCTGAAAGTTTACATGGAGTTGACATTGTACGTGATTCAATAACTTTATATTGATGGGAAAATACTTTTAGAATTGAAATCAGTGCTATCAGTCTTGGGTGTGACCTGTATCTGTCATAAAATATTTATTTAGACAGACAGAGTGCCATAGTTTGGAAATTTTGGAGGCGATAACGTGTTTGTTAAGAAGACTTTTATACTAGTGACGGTTTGAGAGTAAGGTAAATGGCGGATGTGATTATGAAGTTTGTTTAGTATTAACTGTCACGCCCCGAGCTACCCCCGAGACGTGGACACGGGACCTAGGACCACAAGTGATCCCAAGCTAACCCTGCTGGCATGATCATGAGCATACTAAAGATAATAAACTGATGCGGAAGCTAAATCATAAATAAATCTGAAAAGATGGGGAATACTCATATACTATAACTGAATATATCAAATCTGAGAGTTTAATGCAAAAGAAATATCAAACTCAAAACACTAAGCTGAATCTAACTATGTCTGAAATAAGCCTCTAAACTGACTAGAAATGTTGGGACATGCCCCAACTAGATCTAGCAAAACTGAAACTAAAGACTAAAAATACTGAAAAGAAACTCATGACTATTGTCCTCGGAGAATGAGGACTCACCACTGATTCTGCTGAACTGGAGATCGGGAACCGATCTAAGCATGATCTGGATGCTGAGAACCTGAACCTACATCACGAGAAGATGTAGCGCACGTATGCGTCAGTACTTGAAAGGTACTGAGCATGCATGATGGAGTAAAGATGAAATAACATATAACTGAACAAAGCATACTGAGCAATGAAATCATCTGGACATGATATAGATACTGAAATACTGAATACTGAGCTAACTGAATGCAATGACCAAATTTATAACATGCTGAGACTGAATACTGACTGTACTGAAATATGGTCAATGCAATAGTGTCTGACTGAACTGTGAGAGCTACTAATAACCGACATAAAACCACATGAGCTAAATCTGAAGTCCGATGTATATGCCCCATCAAGAGGACCCAATATACCCTGCCAGAGGTATAGAGGCATGCTGGTGTGATCACTAAACTGATGTTGCCCACAGAGGGGACTTACACCTACATGGCTCGTAGTTCTGGGACTATGTGGGTACGCTGAAACCCTAGTCCAACTCGGTATTATGCTTCTCCCAATGAATTAACTGGTTAGCTGATTATGACTGAATTTCTGTAAATACTGGATAGCTCGAAACTGAACATGCAAACTGAGAATGCAACAATTAATCTGATAATGATGCATTCATAAACTGAGGCATGTAAAACTGAATACTGAAATATCTGACTTAGCATGTGTAATTCAAGAACCGAAGAAATACATAGCTAGGGTTCTGAAATTCATGCGATAAACTGAGCAATAACATGCTAATCTGATTTGGAACGTTTAAATAACTAATTCATGATAATCTGCTGTAATTCTAGAAACCCTAGGTCTATTCATAATAAGGGAATCAAGAATCTGACTAAATTCTAGGGACCTAATGGGCGAAAGGAACCCACTAGTGAAATTCCACATACCTGGTGACGAATTCCATAGAGAAATCTTTCGATTTCGGGGCTGGAACTGATGGAACCTTGCTGCGTTCTTGAACTAGGGTTCTTGACTTTTTTCTCCTCTCTTGATTCTAATTTTCTAAGTTTTGATTAAATGTTTTGACTTAGGTAAGTTCTAGTTATGTTTCTAGGCTTAAACTGATTAAAACCGCATGATTTAGGGTCTAAATGATGTATCTTAGGGGTTAAACGAAATAGGAAAATTCCAAAAGACCCTTGAATTAGCTGCTGTCGGAGTGACTGACGGACGTGACTGACGGTCCGTTGATTGGGTCCGTAGGTCGAGTCTGCCCGACAGAGCTTCACTAAAATGAGTATAACTCTTTACTCGGATGTCAAAATTTAGCAAACTCGGTGGCGTTGGAAAGATAATTCAATTATCTATATAACCATAGGTAATGGGACACATAATTCGTTTTGTGCTAAAAGTTATGACCATCTGAAGTTGACCCATCAACAAATTTCAGCTAACTGGTTGCTGGCCCTCATCTACGGTCAGACCTACGGACTGTGGATTGAATGACGGTCTGTGCTGGTCAACCGTAGTTTGTGTCAGAGGCTGGGTAAGGGAAGTCTCGATCCACAGACACAGACCACGGACCGTGGTCTGATCTACGGACAGTGGGTCTGTCCGTG